CGCGGACAAGGGAGCGTAGTGTGAAGCTTATAACATGCCATTCGGATAGCTTCATGATTGGTACAATCCTCCTAATGTCCCAGACCTAGCTGAAGAACTCATTCTCGACATGGAATAAACACTAATACGCGATACTGGGTGGAGACTTTTCACCGACCTTTTCACCGTAATTGGGAATATGTCGAGTGTCATTGATTCATGCAAAACGATCAGCCGCCAACTTTTCGATTCGGTTTGAAAAAATCTTGCAGCATAGAAAGACGAGCTTAAAGAAGACTTTTATTGTAAGCTGTGGAAAAAGCCGCACCGTAAACGTAAACGCGTCCGGTCTACACCAGTTCGTCTAAGTGATCCGAAGTACACTGTTTCAAATCGCATGTCGTTCATCAATGACATTTCCATGTTGCTGGGTTGACATTTTTGAGCTAGGGTTCCAGGGTGACGGATCTTTCTGCAGGTCATTGTCCCGGCACGGCGAAAGCTTCTTATATGTGGGTGTGTGGGTGCGAGATTCTGTGTGGCAGCCTCAACTGGTTGGTGATGGCCGCAGAGCCTCGATCTCCGACTACGTAGCATGCGAATATCATGCTCTGGGTCGTGCGGACAGTTGCACAAGACTTCTTTTCAGAGTCCTCCTTGCGAATCAACTCACCTATACTGGAATCGTGCTCATTATCATGTTTAACTAGACCAGTAGGATATTCCAGTTAGAATAGCCAGAATGTGCGATAGGAACCCAAGCTGCCCGACCTAGCTACTCCAGGATCATAGCTCCAACTCAAGAGAGCTCATCCAGGGTGTCAGCACGGATAGTGTCGATCATGATTGACGTTGCTGGGCTCACAGACACCGGACTTGTACACCTGGGCGCGAAGACCTTGAACAGTGCAGGTGTAAGTTGGGCGTAACAGGCCAGGCTTGCACATGGTACTTGGCTCTTCGGACGGTCTCGCCGGCTACTCAACGAAGCTACCCCGCCTTGCCCCTCTTTCCCAAGGGTGTTGAGAAGAAGTCTAAAAAAGGTTCCGCCGACGAGGGGCTGCACGGGACGCCGGTGGAAATTGCCTGCCACGGCCCATGACATGGGAAACCCGCCTCGGCGTCGCTTTCGTTGTGGCCATGGGATGGTCACTCCGAGCATCATATGATTATTGATGGAGCATAGAGTTTGGACGCGAGATAGTTCCCATTGTGAGTTGCGATGGGAGGGTATGAGAGGCTCAAGGAGTTGAGGGCGTAGTCTTCCAATCGCGGCGGCTCGGACATTAAAATCGGGTTAGCGGTTGAGGGGCTGCATACACCCAGATCAAACCTTGATTCAACGGTGCGTCGTGAACATGAGGAGCGGCGAGACGCGTGTACGATCGTCGGTCCTTACTCATGGCGAAAGTTGAGGTCGGGGAACTTGGCTTGACTGAGATGCGGGACCGAGATGGCGGCGCCGCGGCGGGCAAGCGTGGGGGGTGGAATGCAGTTGCATTGCAGACATCTCCGAGATCGACTGTCTGCCATGCCGTGAGCCAACTCTCTGGGCCTTAACAGCCTCAACTCTAGCCTTCAAGCTGTCAACGCCAAGTTGAGCACCCATAGTGCCAAGATGGGCCTCTTAACGTCAAGTCGTTTAGTCAAGTTAGCTGCACACTTTAAGGACTACAAATGCTCAGCTCTTGCCCCTAGAGTCCATATCTTTTTTGCTATGGGAGTTTCTCGTCTACAAGCACGTCTAGTCTGACCTAGAGATCCCGCTCGCTCTACAGCAACAAGCTTCTACGGCCTTACTCAGCGCAGAGAAAGTCCGTCTCAACATTATGCGCAGGCAGCCTTACATTGCCAGCCGGCGCTCCCAACTTTGTCCGTTCTCGATCAAAGCTTATTCTACCAGCTTCGAAAGTTTCCATCTGTTCCTCGATTTAAGAGGCCTCATCACCATCGACTCGACTGACGTCCAAGACGCTAGCTGGCGGGCGCTTGCAGAGAGTCTTTCCGAGCAGCCCAATCTCGGACGGGAAGTAAATGCGAGTATTCGAGAGACGAAACCTAGAAGGGGGATGCATTCTAGCACTATCAACCATCACCACTTGGAGCGGAACATCCGGAACGATCACCTCCTTTTCATCCCATGTCTTGCGGTCGTGGTCCATAGAAGTTGCTCGAGCTGTCATGGGGTCCTAGCGATTACGCCGCCCACCCGACTGACCCCTCATGATCGTTTTTGCTTTAGGCAATGCACCTCGGATTCCGCTCCGGCTCGGGGTCATTGATCCCAAGTGTTATGGCAAGTAAGAGTCAATTGACACCTTTTGCCTATCATCGGGCTGTCTGTATGGCAGTTTCTGGAAAGTTCCGTAGAAGCTGCCAGGAACGAGTTTAAGGTCTTCCGAAATCAGGTTTTGTTACCTCTGCAGGAAGTATGATTGCTTACTCTTGCCGCCTAGAAAACGGATAACATATCTATAACGCGGCAAAGCAAAAACAGCCTAATAGGTATATGTGGACCCGCCGGAGGGCAAAGCTGGCCCGTGATTGTTAGCCGGATGGATACAAGAGAAACATCGTTGAAAGCTCCGGCTTCCTAGGTATAACTATAGGAAGAAGAAGGAACGGGAAAGGCGCAAAAGCAAAAAGGGAAATATCTCATGTCTAGGCGGAGTCTAACCGCTGTAACTCCCCGAGGTGGGCTCGAACCACCAACCTCCAGATTAACAGTCTGACGCGCTAGCCAATTGTGCCATCGGGGATATGAGATATGATTGGATGACGATCCTAGGGTGTGCAGAGTTACTAGTAGGAAGGCTGCTCTCAACGCCGCGCTTGGCCCGAGCTCCTGCCCCAGCTCGCTCCTATCGCCATAGTGGTCGCGGTACAAGAGGCGTAGGCAGGAATGGAAAGAGAAAAAAAGGGGCGAAAAAGAGCGAACTCTTGAGGTGGATTTGCCCTAGCTCTTCAGATCGTCTCATGGGAAAAGTTCCGGAATGCGGCGATCTAAGATGTACGAGAAGTTACGCTTCGCACCAAACTCCCCCACTGGGAAGAGCCTTTCTTGATGAACAATTGTTAGTGGGTTTATCCAATCCACTGATCTCATGGATCTTAGTGATTTCCCCTCGAATGGAGGGCTGGATTCTAGAATAGCTATGTTGATGAGAAATCGAACTCGACCGTGTTTCTTACTCTCGTTCTACTCCGAACATGATGTAGAAAAAGACGTAAAGGCTGCTCCTGGCTGGTCGATCATGGATCGCACAAGGCTTCATATTACTATCAACCATGGTGGTTCTTTTGACTTGTCTCTGCGACAACGTCCAATTTCACGAGACTATTATCTTCACCATTGCAACCACCAAACTCCCACGGCAGCAGATTTGACCCGTTGATATCTCTTTCGCAGCCAAACTTGACATATGTTACAACGAGAACCTCTACATCTGCCAAGACCCTTCGTGCAGCTACGCCACCAATTTTCCACCACTGGCGTCAATTCCCCTCATCCCACGCTCAACCCCGCGTAGGTCATCACGCATCATGTCTTCGGGCTAATATCGCCCGCAGGCGATCATTCAAAACATCCTTCAAGAATGCGATCTCACCTCCCAAGTCGACTTTACATCAATCCATTTGAGCCATCTTTTCTCTCTCCCTCGCAACAATGTCACTCTCCGACCACGCGCAAAAGCTCACCAGCACGCTCGAGCAAGCCAAGCTCGTCCCGGGCTCAGCGGCGGTACTGATACCAGAGGGTTTTAAGCCGACGATCAAGCTCGAGGTCTCGTTCGCGGATAAGGCCGTCGATGTGGGCAACTTCTTCCGCGCGGGCGAGTGCAAGCTTGCACCCAGCATCTCGTTCGCGGCCGAGGAGGGAGCCGAATCCGGTGCCTCGTACACCCTCTTCCTAACAGACCCGGACGCGCCCACCCCGGACAACCCGCAGTTTGCGTTCTGGCGCCATTGGGTCCTACCCGGGCTACAGCCGCTCAGTGGGGGCGCGGTCGTTGCGCAGACGAAGCCGGCGTTGACTGAGTTTCTCGGACCCGGACCCAAGGACGAGTGAGTCGACAAACAGCCTCAATGATTTGGGCAGCCTTTAAAAGTGACCTTGCTGACTCTGCCTTACCTTGTAGCTCAAAGCCGCACAGGTACCTCTTCCTGCTCTACCGGGAACCCCAAGGACTGGATCTCAAGAAGGAGGATGTCGGCGGAGAGGAATTTGTTCAGAGGCGCTCATGGAAGCCTGCTGAGTTCGCGGATAAGCATGGTCTGAAGCTCGTTGGAGTGAACTGGATGACCTGCGCTGGCGATGGCTGGACAGAGTGAGGCACGATGGCCGGTTTGTCTGGCAGATGCAGCTAGGGAGTCCAACCCCAAGGCAAGCTGAGCCAGCGAAGGGTCATCACGAGACTGTACCACCCTTCAAGCTACCTGGACCGAAGCTTCACGTCCCCAGCTGCTCGAATGGCGGTATTCAAACCTCGCTGGTCGTTCACGACACGGCAGTGGACTGCCATGGACAGCGAGATTCGGCGGCAACGCCATCAAGAATCATCGTAAAGCTGGTCCTATAGTCTAGTTGGTTAGGACGTCGGATTCTGATTGAAATATGGTTAGATCCTTCCGTAGGCCCAGGTTCGAATCCTGGTAGGACCTAAGTCTTTTGCTTCCTACTCATAATTTTCCTTTTGCTAATTATGCGGATATTGGGACCGAAGTCGAAGCTCCATGATGCGTCTCTTGGACGTTGTAGATGTTCAGTGTTAGAGTTTGCCGTTGCTTAATATGCTGTCCATAGCAAAAACCACGTCTTGCGTGCATCTTGGATTGTAGTGGTCTGTGCCTGAGCTGCGGCGCTTCAGGACCCTGACTGTCCGCTGCGATCTGAATTGCAGCGAACGCATCCCTGAATCGACGCTAATTATTTGCTATTCACCCGTCAAATGTACCTGAAGTGAAATTCGGACCACTTTACTCCACGACGCGTCTTCTCGTCGCGTCTCCCAAACATCACCATGATTCAACGTCGTCTAGTCCGTCGACAAAGTTCACTCGCAGCAGCCAGGAGGATCTTGGCGCAAGTCGACAGCGAGCCAGATGTAGAAACCAAGAAGCCGACGTCTAGATCACGCTCGGTAGCCACCAAAAAGTGTGCACCTGTATCACCCCCGGCATCCAAGGACGCGTCAGAAGAAGACTTCAACCCAACTCTTCAAGACGACGAAGGCGACGAAGTGAAGGACGTTATTGAGCCGCCGCCAAAGAGGCGCAAGGTCGAGAAGAACCCCAAAGCTCGAAAAGCAGACACCGCAAAACTCCATGCGCGCCTCTTTGGTCCACCCCAGCAGCAGCCGGCGACGCAGGATGCCTGCTGCTCGCCCGCCGCATCAAGGACGCATGCCACCTCGTACCACCGCCCTCTCCTCCTAGATGGCCAACCAGGCCGTCGCGGGCGCGATGCTCTCCTCGGCTGGTTCGACTCCATCAGCACAACCCGCGGTATGCCCTGGCGCAAACCCTGGATCGACCCTGCAAAGACTTCGCCAAATGACGCCGCCGACCTCCGCAGCGCCCTCGAAAAGCGCGCCTACGAAGTCTGGATCAGCGAAATCATGCTCCAGCAGACCCGCGTCGCCGTGGTGATCGACTACTGGAACAGATGGATGGCCCGCTGGCCCACGATCCACGACCTCGCGGCCGCCGAGCCCGAGGACGTGCTGAGCGCCTGGCGCGGGCTGGGCTACTATAGCCGCGCCACGAGGATCCACGAGGCCGCAAAGCTGGTCGTCGCGGACCCGGCCTGGCGGGGTTTGATGCCCTCCGACACGGCCGAGCTCGAGGCCAAAGTCCCGGGCGTGGGTCGGTACACGGCCGGTGCCGTCGCTGCTATTGTGTTTGGTGAGGCGGCGCCCATGGTTGATGGGAATGTGCTTCGCGTGCTGAGCAGGCAGCTGGGACTGTATGGGAATGCCAAGACGGACAAGGCTGTCATTGATTTGCTCTGGGCAGCTGCAGATGCGCTCGTCAAGGCGGTTGCGAAGGACGGACCTGACGAAGATGGCACTGAGCTTGCTGAGAAGGCGCCGTTAAGTGACCGTCCTGGGCGATGGGGGCAGGCCTTGATGGAACTCGGAAGCACCGTCTGCACGCCGAAGCCAAACTGCGGCGAGTGTCCAGTCACCTCTACGTGCCGAGCGTATGCAGAGGGCCTTCAACTAGCAGCCAAGAAGCCGAGGAAAGCGGTTGAAAAAGTCGAAGATATTGAGGACCTGTGCTCGATTTGCGAACCTTTCGAAGAAGCCGCAGACGAGACGACGCTCTCTGAGGAAGATTCTGAAGCTGAGTCGCCGAAGCGAAAGCCGGTAAAGGGGGCTAAGAAGGGCGTAAAGACACAACCAGGGCCAAAGCAGGCGACGCTATCCGCTTTCTTCACCTCAAAAACGGCAAAAAAGAAGGAGGAAGAGGAGGAAGCGCAGCCCAAGGTTGCCCAAATCGATGCAAGAACACTAGAATTCGTCGCGGAACACGCTCGAAAGTTCCCCCTCAAGGTGGTCAAGAAAGCAGTTAGAGAGGAAGAGGCCCTGGTCTGCGCAGTTCGGTGCAGCGACGACGGACGATTCCTAATACACAGGCGCCCGGAGAAGGGACTCCTTGCCGGGCTGTGGGAGTTACCCAGCCACACGCTGCCGTCTACTAGCGGCAACACCGCGACATCGCGGAAGAAGGACGCTCAAGGATATGTATCGGGACTCATCAACGGTGTTGGAAACAATAAGTGGAAGCTGAAACATGCCGGGGAGCTGGGCAGTGTGCCGTGGTTGTTTTCTCACCTGAAGCTTACGATGCATGTGCATCTCTTCGAGGTAGATTGCTCTGAAGACCTCGTCTCGTCGCACGCGCGACATCGATGGGCTACGGTTGAAGAGATTGATGAGGAGTCTATGGGGACTGGGATGCGCAAGTCCTGGGCCTTGGTAAGGGAGAGGTACGAGTAGTGTATGAATGGATTGGTCCGCGTCATGCGCCGGCAGCCATGTAACCAGCATAAATTTCCAGATGGGCCATTAAACCTTACCTTGTTTGAAGGTTCTTCATCTTAGGTAACTACGATTTGGGGAATTGCATGAGATGTGACTCTGCTCGGTTGCACTTATGGAATCGCGGGCTTCTAGCGCGTAACAGTTCCGTCCCCATCCAAGCAGCCCGAACACTATCCCTAAGTGTGACGAACTTTCTTGAGCCAGAACAAAGGAACGCATCCTACTTCATGCCTCATTGTTGGTCTTGGTAATTGGTTTGATGAAGACGACAGTGAACGAACGATAAAACTTAAGCCCAATGGTTTCTTACTTTGGCACCCTCCTTCGTACCTCACTATTCTTCTCGATAATTGTTTCAAGGAATAAGATAGTGAGCGAACGTCAAAACCTGGACCTGACGGCCTCTTGATTTTGCATCCCTCGGCACGGCATTGGTCAAAAAAGTAAGTACTGCTGTGTAGATTGCTGTTCAGTTCATGAGTGACTACACTAGAGGCCACTCGCCTGTTCTCATCGAGTGCGAGTGAATCGGTGCCGTAGAATGTGAAAATATGCGATATTGCACGTAGACATACATACTTTCGCGGAAAGATCTTTTAGTGATCTTAACATCCTTGAAGAAACATTGGATCTATCCAACCTAATGCTGAGACATAATTCATGGTCTATCTAGGTCACCTAATTACAACCATTGCAACATGGAAAAGAACCAATCATGTGGAGGCCATATTATCAGTACGTAAAAACTACATGGAATCACTACATGTAGCATCATGCCAGCTCACAAGTGGGCAACGGCATCTCCATGCGCTATTACTAAGTGGTGAAATCCAGGAAACCCTGCAGAGACCTCTTCATCAACAAACTTGAGATACGGTCGCAGCCCGCCAAAGAAGAAGTTAGTATTGGTCTTCTTCCCGGGAATATTCTGGCTCAAAATCCAACTGGGAGTCTTGGCAAATAGAGACCCCTTCAGCATGCTGTTACACAGCCCTACCCAGTCTGACTCGGCTTGCCCCTTGGCCTCCATGATCATCCGCCTCCTTGGGCTACGTGTATGGAATGCTTCTTCGCCCAAGCTACCGGCCCCCTCACCTTCTCTAGGCTCTAATTCTAAGGGCGAGCCTTCGGCGTACTGTATAATCGACATGATGAAGTTGACTTCTAACTCCACGATGGGGGGGAAATTGGCGAAAGGGCTCTGAGGCCCAGAAATGAGAAACATGTTGGGGAAGCCAGCACAAGCAACGGCGCCGAAGGTCGTAGCTCCATCACCCCAATGGTCTTTTAACGTGCCATTTCGACCCGTCACATGGATCCTCGTGTAGCTGCCGTCGACTGCCTCGAATCCCGTGGCGAAAATGAGCACATCAACCTCATGAACGGTCCCGTCGGCCAACTCAACCCCTTGAGGAACCAGACGTCTGATGCCGTTCGCCTGGAGGTCCACCACGTCAACGTTATCGCGGTTGAAGATTTGGTAGTATCCAAAATCGCAGAGCGGTCGTCTCGCATACGCTTCCCGAGGTTTCAGAATCTGCGCTTTACGAGGGTCTTTGACAATCTCGTCGATTTTGCCGCGTATGAAGTCACAAGCGGCCTCGTTTGCTTCTTCGTTGGTGACGATGTCGCCAAAGGCGCTGAACATGAAGCGGAACCCGTTTCCCTGGGACCAGACTTCCTCAAAGGCCTGCTTTCTCTCTTCGGGCGTCGCGTCGGTCGCTTTGCGGGTTACTTCTGGGACCCCGAATCCCATTCTCGAGGACCAGACGTTGTCCCAGATCTTGTCGTAGTTTGCGTTGATCTTCTGTCGATAGCTGGGGTCGACTGGCCCCTGGCCACTGGGTACCGAGTATTGTGCTCGTCGTTGGAAGAGAGTGAGTTGACCCACGAGAGGTGCGATTGCCGTCATGACTTGCACGCCGGTGGAACCGCTCCCGATTATGCCGACTCTCTTTCCCTTTAGGTCGATGGTATCATCCCACTTTGCAGTGTGGCACGTGATGCCCTGGTAATCTTTCAAGCCGGGGATGTCTGGATAATTCGCCTTGGAAAGTACGCCAAGCGAGTTGATGAGGTATCGAGCATGATACACGATTCTTTCGGAGCTGGTCCCTATCGTGGAACACTCGATCCGCCAGCGATGTAGACTGTCGTCCCACGTCGCCGACTGCATCTGACAGTTGAACGACATGTACTTTCGCAAGTCGTGCTTCGCCACAACATGTTCTAGATATTTCAGGATCTCGGGCTGGTAGACGTAATGGTGCGACCAGGGATACGTTTGCAGGTCGTCCTGGTCCCAGGAGTAACGATACAGGTAGCTCTCTGTGTCGCTCATGGCACCGGGATATCTATATCAGTACCATGTGCCTCCGACGTCGCTGGCCATTTCGATAGTTTGGACTTTCATGCGCGGTTGCATGCGGGCCAGGCTGTATGTTGCGCAGATACCGCCGAATCCTGCCCCCACGACTAGGGCATCGACCTCGATAGGCTGAGCCATACTTACAACTCAACTATGCGATGGGATGTTGTCGTAAGAATTCCGCTTCGAACAGAGATAAAATGATGACGTGTGTGATATGGAAATTATTTGCACAGATAGGGGGAGGGGGGGGGGGGGGGGTTATATCCAGCCATCTACGTGGATCAGGGAATGAGCGGGGTTTACGACAACGATGGAAGATGTCATCGGCAGTCCGAGAAGTCTCTGGATGGAGGCATCAGATCGCGCCTGAACTGTAGCATGAATGCAACGGCAGCTTGCTCCAAAAGGCAAAATCGTCCAGTGGGCGTTAGGCTGATCTACAACTGGAAAGATGCACTCATGCGGTTCGATACCATCAGCGAATCGGATTCCATTAAGAGAATCATCTGCGGAGAACGGGCCGAACCACTCTCCACATTCAGTGCGCCGAGCAAGACATTGACGTGCCAGTCACCGAAGCATTCGATATCTCGTTTTTGAGAGCCAAGTCACCGTTGCGTCAAGGGATTTCCGAGTTGAGCCGCGTACAGCGGGCGGGGTAGATACATGGCCTGATGTGCTCTGGTCTTTTCATAACGAAGATGAGTTTGTAGATGCAATCCAACAGGAAGTCCAGTACGGGAAATGCGATATCCAATGAGCCTAGTCTCTTTGTCCTCTGACTGCACACGCCGGTGTCTTGATGTGCTCGATGCTTGATATCACATGAGGTTACTACTGATTGGTCAACATTACATTGATATCATCCTAATCAAAGCCGACCTTGAAGGCATTTGCCTTGAGAGCCTCCTTGGTTTTGTTTTTCCAGTAGCTTCTTCAGTCACCAATATCTCCAAATTGACTCCCCACCGCTCAACATCATAGTGGAACGTCGGCTGAGCAACGCTCACCACTGGTACTATTAGGCCGTCGAGCATTTAGGCCTGAGACAACACTCACTGCGAACTACTAGCTGACCGGGACTATTGAAGTTTGGAAGATCCCAAGGTCCACCACCGCTGATTATTCCGCATTTTACCTGCGCAGTTGCGGTAAAGTAAAGTTGATGATCATCAAGCACCGCAGGACTCCAGTCAATGAATTCGAATTGTTATCATGTTTCTATCTTCCTTTCATTCCAGCTCTCAGAGCCGAATCCACGTTAGCGAGCCTTGAACCTTCATGTAAGGACAGAGCGATATGTCTCGTCAGGTTTCATCTACTGTCAGGCCGTTCATAGCTGACTTCTAAGGTCTATGGCGGCTAATCAGGACAAAAAAGAGGCGAAATGAGATCGTCGATGTCGTGAAATTGTGAAAATCAAAAGCATTGGGCCCTAACCAGGATTCGAACCTGGGACCTCTCCCAGTTGGTTGTATCCGAAGATGCACCCTAAGGGAGAATCATACCGCTAGACCATCAGGGCGAATGAGGATGGAGTGGTGAACTCGATGTGAAGCCGGGGCCGGGAAGGCATTTTTGATGAGTCCACGAGGTGTGGGGTGGAGTTTTGACATGGATGGCGACGGTAGATAGAAAGAAAGTGGGGCAGGAAGGGCTCACCACACCGAGTAACAGAGGCTGAGTCTTACCGGCGAGGACTCAGCAAAAACAGCCAGTTGAGTCCAGGAAAATAGCAATTTTGGTAGCTTGACGGAGCTTTAGACCTTTGCTCTCCCTGGGGTGTACGTGTAAGGGAATGGGAAGTTGAAGTTGGGTCGGCAGAAAAACTGGTCATACCAGCGCGGAAAATCAAAATACGCGACATGAGACAACTACAACTGGTAGAGACTTGCGAACTTATCTCTTACACCGCCGCTCCCTGAGACCCATAGGCGACTTGTTTTTCTCAAGGCACTTTAGTCACCTAGGCAAGCTCTCTCCGTTGTGGAAAATAGTGAGCATTTCGAGCTTCGATGCTTGCAACTATTCTTCAAGTCTCGTAACTATACTTTGACGTTTTTTTCTGTCGACAGCTTCAGCTTGAAGTAAATCACACGCATGACCTGGTGTATCGAGTTGAGATGAACAGGGTCGATTTTGCACACTTAAAGGGCAATTGACATTCAATTGGCTAGATTGCAAGTCGGCCCGTAAACTTACTTGTCTTGCATGACCGCCGATGCTCGGCCGATTCGAAGACTCTTCTAAGGCAGACAGAAGTACATGTACCTAAACTGTGACAGTCGCTATCGTTGATGAAGCATCAAACCCGTCGCAAGCACGCGCACGGTCAAGTTTGACAGCTTTATGACGAGACTCATTCACGTGTTGTCTAGAAAACATCGTCTCGGGTCATCCCTTGCAGGATTCATATCGTGACTCGTGGCGTTCTTAGTTACCTTGGATACCCTGGCAAATACTAGCGGAAACGTTCTAAATGAAGTGAAATTCAGTTTGGTCATACTGGATTGATGTTGTAATATCTGAGTTCATGCTACATCAACTTCATTGTCTCTTTTAGTATGTACCAGCAATACCGGTC